CGGTTCTCCGCTTCAGAGTTGATAATGATACAGCCTCCTGGCTGGGTGGTCAGGCAGGCCTTAACGAGCGCATCCCTGGGAGGTGTGCGGATAGGGCAGGAGGCAGCAATGCGCCAGCAGCAGCATCCGCAAAAGCAGCACCCGCAAAAGCCGGATGGCGCGGCGATAACTCCACAGTGGAACTGAACAGAGCTGGACAGTTCCCCCCGCCAATCCTCCTCAACATCCCAAGGCCAGCGATGGCCATTTAACCGAACCATTGAGAAAACCCCTCAGTACATGAAGAGGCGGCCCTCTCCACAACCCATCCAAACACCCCACACACCCCCACCTGACCATCACATCATCCCAACCTGCTCGTACCTGGGTGCCAGTGCCGTTCCAAATGGCTCATCCGTGAAAACCACCACCTCGGCGGGGCCCATGTAAGCGGGTAGCTCCGTAAAGTCCCCCCGCCACACACGAACACCTGCAGCAACAATCCCGTCGCCGCAGAGATGGAGGGGAGAGGACCGACAGGCAGGCAGACAGGTATACAGGCAGGCTGAGAAACGCTTGCCTAACGCTTCTAATTGGACCTCCGATCCCCAATCCACCGCATGGGGGGTGATCTGTGAGCGTCTGTGGGGGTTTGGGTATGTACAACGACTCGACACAATCCCAGGAAACATAGGGCATGTGGCGTGTAAAGATACGTTACGAGGCACACCTCGTAAGCGGATGCGCTCTTGTGGCAGCATAATGCTACACATGTGCGCGTATGTCCGTATGTACGTCCTATAGATACTTTGGTCGCAGTCCGCGCCACGGCACGTTTGAATGCAGCCGCAGGCCCTGGAGGTAACAGTACAGCCCACCTGCCTTATAATTTAACCTACCTATCTATCTACCTACCTACCTACCTAACTAACTAACCTTAGCTACCTACCTTGCTGGTTCCCCAGTGTGCTGGCCACACCGTGCGCTGTAGTCACCACTTCTAGGAACTCCGAGCTCATGTCCACAGCCAGGATATCCTGTGCACCGGGCCATCAGGTAGTTAGATAGGAAATTAGGTTATGGTAGGCAGTTAGGTTAGGATAGATAGGTAGGTAGGTAGGTCGGGTCGGGTAGGTTGGGGTTGATAGGTAGGTTAGGTTGGGTATCGTAGGGTAGGGTAATTGGATAAGTAGGTAGCCAAGTGGTTGAGTGGGAACATGCCAAGCAGTTATGCAGTGCCAAGGGTGAGGGTCGAATTTAGGTCGCTGGCAACGAAGGTGGGTGCGCTTTTGCGTGGGCGATGAAGCTTTGGCTTCGTGTAAGTTCACAAGAACCAGGATTTAGATCGGATCTTAACGCTTTGAGAGAAAGGGCAGCAGTCTGGAAGCATCCTCACATGCAGGAAAAGTAAGCGTATGGCGAGTATGTCAACTCGTGAATGAAGGTGCGTGCGATGGTGTGGAGTACCCGGCAACGTCCCACCGCTCACCTTCCCAGTAAACCCTCTTACCTGCACCCCCAGGTATTTGAGCACGTCGATGACAGGCAGGGCGCCTGTCCCCACTACAATGGCTCTGGCCCCTGGGACAACACCTGGCGCCAACATGATGCGCTGGCGATTTGGATAAAAGTAGGGTCAAAATAAGCTTTCCAAAGGGCTAAGAGGTTATAGATTATACAGAGGTACACAATTTTTGCCATGTGGAACTCACGTTTGCGAGCTCCTTAGTACGTGGTGATGCAGGGCGGATGGACGCCTCCACTGGAAGGGCCTGCAACCCCAGGTATAAGTCTCTATCTTTCAGGGGCAAGATCCGAGGTACTGAACTTGGCTTTGCTGTACCTTGAGTGTCATAGCCCTCACGCAGACCGAGGCGCGGTGATTCAAACGTGGGCATTTCACAGTAGGCCTCCGAGCGATTGCCGCCAGAAGTACCTTAGGACTAGAGCTCAGAAAACGCCCTGTTACCGCCATTTTTTCTTCGTTGATGTGGGCGGATGTCCTGTGAATAGGGCTTTTATGTCTGGCCTTCTATTAAGGGCTACCGCCCATATGGCTTTAATTTCAGCATTATATTGCCAACCAGAAGGAGTATACTGTTGCACAAGGCTTATCTTCTTTGTCAGTTTTACATTAACGAGCAGACAACGGCCGCCGGACAGCGGACCACACATGCCCTTTACAGCAATAGCATGGAATGATGATGTAGTCGGCTGCATAACTATTTTCATAGCTTACAACTCATGTGTTCGAAAGGAAAGTTTTGCTCAAGCTGCTTTACAAATGCGGTCTCAGGGTTTTGGAGTCAAAGGGTCGAGTGTTTGATGATTACACAAGAGAACACGGAAACACGAGGAAACACAGAAACAGACCTTACAAGTCAAGTTTCATGGAGGTTCCACCGTCATTTCCACCTCTCTTTCGCTCATCAATAGGAGCACAGTCATCATCCCCGACCAAGATACAACATATTTGGCAAGGCGAGTATTTACCAAACGGACCTAAAGTATTAGGCCAGTGTTCTAGCCGGCCCAGGCGTCTGGCTCCTTAGTCCCTGGTCATCCCTACTCACTGCTCTGGGCCCCTTGGGCCTCTTCCCACAGTACACAAATACTCAAGAACGTTCCACACTCATTGCTGCTCCTAATGCTCAGCAAGTCAGTTCCTACACCGTTAACACATTTGCAGCGGCCAGCCTAAACTACCTCAGAACCTCACCCCAGCCACGCCCAGAAATCACAATCTTGAGCCCCTGGTCCTGATCGGAGGTCCTGCGGTTCCATGCGCCCCATCTGGGTCCACTTGTTTTGAATCCCACTCCACTTCCCGCCCGCGTCCCTGGCCCCCACGTCCATCTGTGCCCAACCAGGCCCCTCCCGGCCCAACCCCTACCTGTTTTACCACACCTACTCAGGCCCCAGGCACAAAGCAGTGCTCGATGTACCTTTCCTCCTCCTCCTCCTTTTTCTCCAACAATCCTTGCTTCCCTCATTCGTCGTCGTCTTCCTCCTCGTCCGCTTCCTCCTCGTCCTCCCCCACATCCCCCACGTACTCATCCTCCTCCACATCAATGTCATCCTCATCAAGTCCAACCATCCCCAGCGCCTCCAGCATGCCCTCATGCTCCGCCTGCTCAGTCAGCGCATCCAACTCTAGCTGATCCTCATCCTCGCCGTAGTCCTCCCCGTGCAAAATGAACTCCCGGTCGTATTGTACCCGGTAATCACGCGGCGCCAAGTGCCCGGTGCGCTCGAGCAGTTCCTCCGTCTCCTCAATGTAATGGACCCCTAGCGCGTGGTAGTCCTGTACGGCCAATGGATTTTCCACTATCGCGCCGTGATCCTCAGGCCGGCATGCAAGACCGTTATTGACGATGAGCTGGCGGATTTCCTCCTCTGTCCAGTCGTAGCGATAGCCGTCGCCCGTGAGGCGCTGTACGCGGACGTCGCGGTGCTGATCCATGTGAGGGTAGGTGAGCTTGCCGATGCGAGACTGGCGACGGCGCCACTCTGCGTCGAGCATCGCGCGCTGCTGGCGCTTCTCTGCCATTGCACGCAGGTCCCAGGGCAACAACGTGGGGTTTGGATCGGGACGCTCCGCGTCCATCGGCGGGTTTATCCATTTATCCTCTTCGTAACCGTCCTCTGAGTGCGGGCTTGACATCCAGTTCACGATGTCCGTGCGCATATCCATTTCGGTGAAGGCGTCGATGAGCTTTTCTGCGCGACGCAAAGCCTCGATGGGTCCGGCCATGTTGCCTTCCTCCGTCTCGAGGTCCTCCACCTCCAGCTCCCAGTTCTGATAATTCCAAAACTCCTGCCAATCTTCGACCTTTGATATCCAGTCCGGATCATCGTAATCGGGGTGTGCTGAGTTAGAATCCACAACCCGCAAGTAGCCGTCGTCGCGAGCCACCTCCTCGAATAGCGGAGAGGGCGTCACCGTCTTGCCCGTTGACCGGCAAACTCCCGTTGCGCGTGCCCGGGACCCCGCATGGCTTGGAGCTCTGCGGCTGCAATGCGAGCGTGACCGGACGGACGACGGCGGCATGCACTGGCTGCTCGGCCCAGCGAGACGGTGCTGTGCTCGCCTGGCTATAAGTGCGCTAACATCCATTGCAAAATCGTCTTGTTTGGAAAAGAGCTATTCGCTGCAGCCGTCACGAAATGGTTCCAGTTTCAGTTATAATAAAACTTTACAGCGGCACGATCTACTTCCTTGCAGATAACAGAATAATTACAACTCTTCAGCTCAGTCAGAAAACTGTCGTCCATTGTACGAACAAGGCTGCCTCCATCTGCGCAGTGCAACCAGCTCACTACGGTGACTACGACATTCAATTTTAAGGCAATTTATTGCCACGAACTTAGCACTTACTTGCCGCCACCATGGCGTACGCGTCTGCATTAATCCCACCGGGACTACTCGGTGGCGGTAGTGGGGACCAAGTGGATAATCAGGGATGGTCTTTGGGCCCTTTCAAAATACCATTTCCATCCATGCAGCAACAAAATACTCGACCCAGCAGCAGCGGCAGCAGCAGCAGCAGCAGCAACGCAAGGGCTCGCATGGCCCCGGGTGTCCAGAGCCTTGTGCAGCAGTTCAAGGAGGCGGTGAGCTCAGGATTGCACCCTAGCTCAGGCCGGGGCGGCATCGCAAGCACCAGCGCCCCTGGCACCGCTGGACGGAGGACCGCAGGCTTGCACCTGGACTACTCGGACGACACACCCCGCCTTGTCGGGAAGCGCAGCATAGCCCTGAGGTAATCCCGGTGCATGCTTCAAACGCTTCTCCCGCGCTTTTGTCGGTTAACTTGTTTGCCAGGCAGACGCGCAGCCATTGCATGCTACCATCCGCACTCGAGCTCCCTCGAATGCTATTTTGCTTAAAAGCAGCCCTGTCATGGAGCTCGTCTTGGCTTAGCCACAGCTGAGCTCGCCGTGGTTTACTGCTCTGAGGCGCGGGCAGTAACAGGCGAAGATGGCAGAAGAATAACTTGACCAGAGGAGTTAGCCACCAGCGAAATGGTGCCCACCGTGTGTCCGTCGTGTGCCGAAACTGCTGTCTCTGTAGGTCTTCAGAATCTCCGCCTGCACCGCAAAAATATTGCAACCCAAGCAGGAAAGCCCCCAGCACATAGAACACAGCGCAACACAGTCAGCACCCAGTTAAGCACAATGCCTCGTGCGCATATCACGCTCGCCACGCTGGCCAAAAACGACCCAAAACAACCCGCAGGCCACGCCACACTCTGCCACTGTCCGGATGGGAGCCGGTGTACGACGATCGCGACGCACGCTGGTTTGATATTAAGGAAACGGCGCTACACGGCAGCTACAGCTGGGCCCTACAAGGTACGACACAGGCGGGTGTTTCGCAGGGATGGCACGCCCTGTGGATGCCCCCCCCCCCTGGGGTCCCCGGGCTCCTGACACGAAACACACTGGCATCCACTTCCGCAAAGACTCTCCTATACCTTTTTAAACCCCCATCCCACTTTCCCGACTTTCTGGCTTCTTCCTCCATTTTTCCACACCTGCTGCATCTCCTCTCCTCCCCTCCTACCCCACCCTCACCTGCCCCACGTGCATGTGCACACCCATAACCAGCTGACACCGCGGGGCGATGATGACCATTTCCATCGGTAAAGGCGCTCTTGCGCTATCCTTGACAATCTCCCCGCGTAGCCTACTAGTTCATGTCAATGGAGGACGTTTAGGAACGCGCTCAGCGACACCCTTCAACAAACAATCGTACTCGCAGCTATGCGTGTTTTGACTTTTGAGCGATGCTGTGCTCCCTTTTCCTTTGCACAGACTACCGGTCCGAACGCGAGGAAGTTCCGGTCCCGGGCGATGTGTGGCGTGGGGAAATCCCGAGCGACGTGGAGCTGGCGCCGGTGCTGACGTGCCGTGACCTCGTCAAGCAGGTACGGCATGACGGCATGGCAGAGGTGGGTTAGGAAAATTGAAGCGAGGGAGCCTGGCGGCGTGAGATGCTCGTGGTGGTGTCAAGGTGTGCTGCTGAGTCAACGTGCGCTGACGAGAAAAAGCTGGGAAAGCGGATGAAGGGAACATGGTAAAGCCAGGTGGGACGTGTTTGGAAAGTTCTCCCCGGGAGATACAGCCACCAGAGATGGCGCCGAGTGCCCCGCAGGTGCGGCCTGGATGGTCTGGTCGCTTGCTGGTTGCCGCGGACTGCAGGATCCGCCGGCCGCCACACTAGATGATCCGTCTCACGCACGCATCTCATACATGTTCTATCCTCCAGTTCGACTGGCAATGGGGAACTGGGGTCGCGCACTACCAGGAGGCTGTATAGATATGCTCAGCTCAGCCGTTCTTGTTGAGATGGAGGCGGCGCGCAAAATGCACCGTCCATATGGATTTGCATTGCCGCCTTAGCAGCAAGTGTGTCTACATCAGATTCATGCATCACTCCAACGCCGCCGGGCGCCACACCCGGCCCTAGCAGCTATCCATAATAATGAGCGTATATAGTCCAAATACGACGCCGTTCCTCCACTTGCGGCCCATTGTACGGTTTGCTTGGCTGCGTGTATGTGTACTGCAGGTATTGGTCGACCAACACGGCCGTGGGGACACTATTCAGTGCGCCTTTCCCGACCAGCCCTGCCCTCCCGGCACCTACAAGGTCATGGCCTTCACGAGCCCCATTCCCGAGGACGACCCGGCGGTCAACTATTGCGATCACCACTTTTATGTGCAGCACAAAGACGTCAACATCACGTTGCAGCTGGGCGACAAGCTGAGCGACGTATCCAGGTGCTGCATTGTGTGTATGTATGTATGTATGTGTGTGTGCGCGTGTGTGTGTGTGTATGTGTGTGTGCGCGTGTATGTGCGCGTGTATGTGTGTGTGCGTGTGTGTGTGTGTGTGTGCACGGCACGGCGCAATGTGATGGGACGCACCCCTGTGTGTGCTGCGTGTGCCCACCACGCGCGTCCCGTACCTGGGATTCCCAAGCCCTTATCAAATGCCATAGGAAACCGTTAGAACCCGTCAAAACACGGCAGCAGAAGCAGAAGTAGCAGCAGAAGCAGAAGCAGCCTAATTATTTCAGATGCATTGCGCATCGACGGCACAACCTCACTCTCCCCCTCTTCCTCTAAATGCAGATTCTTCAAGCTGCCCGTTGACGATTTGTACGATGCCAACCCGGGCCTGGCGGACATCCCCGAGGATCAGCCCTTGGCGAGGGAGCGCAGCGTGTTGGTCCCCGGCGCCAATGTTTGGAGTCACAAGCCGAACGAGTGGCTGCCACCGCGACTGCACGACGGCGCAGGGCGCGCCATCCATAACCCGCTGCGTGCCGTGGCGGCCTTTTCCGACGACGAGGGCGGCATGAACGAGCTGCCGGCACACTACTGCTGCTCGTTCTGCGTGCGGCCGGGCCAGGCGAAGACGGGGGCCCAGGCGCGGGAGATGGGTTCGGGGCAGGAGTGATTGCAGTGGCGCTGGGAAGACTAGCCTTGTGTTGGTGGTGATGGCGGTACGGTAGCAGGGGTCAGGAGCAGGATTATGACACCAGTCAAATTTCTACCCTGCGGTAATGCACACGATGGTGTAGGAATTGCGTCCTTCTGGGCCGGCGTGGGGATGCTGCCTGGCTGCTGTTGGGAAGTCTCAACGCAGATAGAAAGTATGCGGGGGACTGCCACAGGCCCGGCTCTTCATGGCGCCAGGGTAAGCGGGTAAACCCTAAGCCCCGGGCGTGTACATGGGTGGTGATGGCGATGGGCAGGTACTACATATCGCAAGGGAGAGTGGCAGCGCTGCCCCCCACGGATGCCCCGCGTCCTCCTCCCCACACACCGTTATGCATTACTCGCCAAGTACATGCTTTAACTGAAAGTGAAAAGATGTATTTACACAGAAGAATTTGGGACTGCAAAATGATTCACCGAGACCCCTGCAACTCCCATATAATAATGTGGGTGCACTCAGCAGAGGCCTCCTCCAGCAAAAAGACTTAAGGAGTGTGCGGGGCAGAGGACAGGGGGGGACAGGGTGCCGCCCTGTCCCGACGGGAACCACCTCCTCCTCTATGCTAAAAGCCTCTGGCGGTCTTTTGCGCACAGCCGCCCTGTAACCGCATCTGGAAGAACTTTTATCACTAACAAGTACTATCAATACAAACCGCGAAAGTTCTGAATAAGAAAGTATCAGCATGCTGCATATATCGCCAGGTCACTACAACCCACCACCAAATGGCTGCGCGCACACACACACACAACTGTATGTATGTATGCACCATAATATACACCACCAGGGGCAGCCATAAATTTAACCACAAAATGCCAGAGAGACTTCCAGAAATTCTTCATAACGCGGGGGCAACCGCAACTCAGTACTAATTTACCTTCATATCGCCCAAATCTGACACCACAAAACCGAATCGGCCGAGGGCAGCATTCTATCCGAAGCAGCTCCTGGATCAACTTCTGGCCAAGCAGGACAGGAAACGACGACCCGAAGCGTCCTGCGTCCACTCTGGCAGATTACGATATGATTTCACGTACACTGCCGGCACCTGCAAGCCCTACTCGTCGTGGCGCTAAACACGTCAAGCTCTCCAGCGCCGCCAGTACAGTGGGGCTACACAGCGCCAGCGGATGGCGACAAAGACGCCGACAGACTACCCCGTATTTCGCCATTACCAGCATTCCGCGGCCTTGTTCGCAGCTTGGTGCCTCCCACATATTGCCCTCTCACTTCCACAGCTCTCTAATTAAACAACATTAGGCAGGCGGCTGGCAGAGGTTAAGGCCTGACTTCTGCTCCCGGTCGACCCGGGTTCAAATCCGCCTGCCGACCTCTCGGGTGTTTGAGAGGTGGTGAAATGGGAGGTGGCCCCCCATCTTGTGGACGGTGTAGGACGTGATAAAATCAACTCGCGAGCTGACCAGGAACTAAGTTGAGGCGCCGTCGATCCGCTAGATTTGGTTGGATGCTGGTGGTGAGTTGCCAAACTCAAAGAGTACACTCTGAAGTCGGATGGGGTGAATGGCTTAGGGTGCCCCTCTAGCAGGGGAGAGCAGGGAATTGCCTCGGGAAGGAGGCCACTGGTGAAGCTTAACCACCCTGTAACAACATCAACATCAACATTTACCTATTACACGCACAAACACACAAAAACACATACTCTCTCTGAAGGGAACTAAACTGAAATGCGCTACATTCGACAAAACGTGCAGGCGGGACTTCACAGCTAAGACCGAGTCCAGACAAACCGACGCGTAAAAAAAGGGGGGGGTTGCGCCTGCGAAGTGGCAACACAATCGGTGTCGCGCATGCACCATCCGCACCATACCCCAACTCCTACCGCATCCGTCTTTGTCCCCATCCATCCAAGCACCACCCACCCCGCTGCATCAAAAAGGGCTTTCCTTGCACAAACCTCGAACAGAAACCTGTACAATGAACGCGCCGCCGTACCCTGTACGGCGACCATCACGATCGCGCAGGTTAACAAGGACGCATGATAAGCCGCGTACACTCTCTTTTCTCTCTCGCGCACTCTTCTCCAATACACATAAGACCCTGGGGATCTCCTCGTATAAAACTAAACGTTCCTCTCAGACTCCCTGCAAAGGCCTGACGACCTCACATCAGTCTACATAAGGAATATAAAGTGCATATCCGATTCTTATTATTTCAAACCGCCGCGCGCGTCGGCCTCCCCACGGGTCCGCGCCCATGTCCTAGGCCTGCAGGTGGCAATATTACCAGAGCGCAGGCTCAGCTTACAGCAGCATTACGAGCGCCAATAACCGCCAATATTTGGAGCACACGAGGGCATTGTTGTGCTGCTACCCTGCTACCCTCTCCCTCCCGCAGCCACCAACCGTTCCACCATTCGCAGGTCAGGTAGCGTGCGTCACCTCCCCGGGGTGCGATTGCTGTTGCTGCTGCTGCCGCTGGGCTTGAGCTTCGACAGCAGCAGCACCGCGTCTTCCTGCAGGAGCCATGTGGCGGAGCACAAGCGACGTAAATGGTTGCTGTCGTTGTGGGTGTTATTGTTGTTGTGATGGTGGTAGCGGGTGCCATATCGCGGAAGCTAAAGAGGGACAACAACTCATAGTAACACATGGACGAGACCAGACCTTAACAATCATTAGCGTCACAGTCATCCCTGCAGCGGCACCAATAGCAGCTCACTGGTGCTGGTGCTGGTGCTCCCCATGGCCCTCTTGCCATGCAGTCTTGGCAACCGGCTCACCACAGTATTACCCCCCAGAAAAGGAAATAAATCCTCCAGTCTCCTCCTAGTAAACCCTGAGTACCCCAGCCCACCCAAACCAAAACAAAAGGTGGCGTCATGAGGCGCCCGTTAGGCCGGAGGTGGTGTATACAATCCCCCCAACACATACATCTCTCCTCCAAAAGAGCCACTTTGCATGTTCAGTGTCCGATTTGGGTCACGGGCACGGGGGCCACACAGCGAGTTCATCCCCACCCTACATCGCCCCCAACACATGCGCAACGCGCGTTTCATCCCAGCGCTTGCTCTTGCGGCGCGAACAGACCTAACTTCTTTCTTATGGCCAAACGGTGGGCTCCAAAGCAGCCATCATACGCGCGAATCATCAAAGGTGGATATTGCAATTAACCCTATACTGGAACTGGAACTGGAGCTAGAACCGACCTTTTGCAGCACCGCATTGATGTCGGGCACGTCAAGCGCCATCGCCGTCTCCAGCTCTCGCACTGCGGACTCCAGCTGACCCAGCTTCAAGTACGTACGACCCAGCTCCACGCGGTGAATCAGAAAGTCGGGCCGGATGCGGACGGCCGCCTCGAAGCAAAGAGCCGCTTCGCGATAGCTTCCGGCCATGAGCGATGTGCCGTACAGCATTTGGATGAGGGTCCGTACCACCGCATTCACGCTCGCCATCTCATAGTTCTGTCGTGTCGTGTCGTGTCGGGGGCGAAACGGAAGACACAAGTCTCAGCAAGTTGCGGCGGTGCGCTTAGTTTAGGGGCAGTTCAGCGTGTCCGAATCAAGAGAGAAGATACGGTCCCAGGCATTCCTGACAAAATCCCCCCAAGCCTCTTTGGACTGCTGCTCCATGGATTAGGTCATCCATGCAGGGAGGCAAACCCTACATAACATGACCCAAAGGGGAGAGGGTCTAGGCTAAACAAGAGCGACCCACTTTCCGGCACTCGAGGCAGCAGCGCAAAGACGACTCACCCATCGCCCCAGCAGGTGATGCGCCACGTCGTTGTTTGGCTCCAGTTCCAACGCCTTTCGGACGTCATCTTGGGCTTCACGTGCAAGCTGCACCTTTGTGCGATTGTCCTGGAACAGCGCCAGGCGCCCCCGGCTCACGCAGCAGGCCACGTGCCCGTACGACGACAAGGGGTTTGCGGCAACGGCCTGAAGGGCTACCTCAATGGCTCGCCGGTTGAGCTCCATGGCGCGCTCGGCTGGCGTGCCGGGGATATAAGACATGTCCGATAGGGCCTTAGAGAGACGGGCCAGGTGCTCGGCGTTCGTGGGGTCGACCTGCGCTGCCTTTTCAAAGCACTTCACGGCGTCCTCGAGCTTCAGCTCGCGCTCATGCAACATGCCCTGCTCCATCCAGCGCTGCGCTTGGCGGCCAGTCCTGGTTACGGCGGTATGGTGGCTGCGCCCAGAATCCTCCGCCCCAACATGGGAGCTACGAAGCCGCCGGAACGGACGCCACTGGCTTGTCCGTTCGAGCTGCTGACGTATTGCTTGCTGCATCCGCACCATAAAGCCTAACCGCGCGAGGACGTGGAACTGGAATGCGCGCACAGCCACCTCCGCTTGCGGCAAGCTAAGGAAGTGCTGCACCTGCCGCGGCAGCTGTTGCTGTCGCCGTGGGGCTACACGGAAAAGTGCGTCGTCAAGGCTGGTGGCGAGCGTCGGGCTGCTTGCTTGGAGTGCCCAGGCTAACGGCAAACAAGCGCGGCCTTCAATCCGCGCACGACTGCTGCGAGGCGAGGGGTCAGATGTACTCGCTTGGCTGTGGCTACTACGTCGCGTCATTGCATCGCTGATGCTTGCAACAAGCAAGGAACCCGCGAGCGGCTCATTGCTCGTGGAAATCATGCCGAAGGCTCTACGCAGTTGTGCGCCCGGAGGCAGTACATCCGCTTTAGACATGTCTTGAAATTACCAGTAAATACCCAGTGTCGCTAATCTCGGGATTAGGAAGAACTGCAGGGCAGCTTCTGCACTGAACAACAATATAGGACTCGCAAAGCTAGTGTATGAATGTGATATTGTTGGGACTGTTAAGTGAAAAGTATATGATTTTACTTCTAAATGGAAGCGGAATGGGACGTTTTAGGCATGGGGGCGACACCGTGTGTCCATGTCAGCAAGCATTGCTCCGGAGCCTTCCTATAGCTGCCATGTGTTGTGGCTGGAGCTGTTATAATACAGCAAGGATGCAATTGCTAAAGAAGTAATGCAGAAGCACTAGAGTAATTTGGGGACCGTTAGTATTCGGCTCTGGTTTGGTTTTACAAGCCACAGTAGACATACGAGCAATCGGATCACTACATTAAGCAATCACAAATAAGGTTTATCCTGCCAAAGCAAATCAGGGACATCTTTTGAGGACTTCCCTGATGGGGTCTTTGGTTCAATTCCTTGAACCCGTTCAGCTTGCCTGTACACTGAGACATCCACAGCAGAAAGATCGCGTGCTTGTCCTCGACGTTCGGGATGAGGTGCGTGCCTATTATGCAGAGCGCACCGAGCCCATGACCCGAGGGTGTTGCAAGGGGTCCACGAACGTGCGCTCGGCGGCCTTAATAGCATAACCTGAGGTTGAAGTGCTGCTAACGCACCATTGGATCTGAAGTAAGGGGGGGCGAGGAGCTCGAAGTGTCTCGCGGGCAGGTTGTGCAAACCTGAGGTTGGCACGGCCGAAGAGCATGTATAACGTCGTATTTCACGAAGAGCACCTCTCTGTACAGCGTATATCAGCATTGCAGTCAAGGGAAAGGCTAGCGGCTACCGGCTTGGTTTAGATAAAGGACGCTTGCACCGGGCTGTTTGATGCCGCTTGCGTACCCGACACCTGCTCACCGTGCCGAACCAGGATTTTGCTGGAGGACATATACGCGGCGCAGTCAACGCACCATCAGAGGAATGGTGTAACGAGCCCCACATTGATGGGCTCATTGACGAACACCTGATTGGGAAGGACATGGTACGCCGACTGCGACTGCTTATTACTGCAAAGATGTCCCCAAATGGGCCACATCCAGGGTTCGCCACGTTCTCTTACGAAATGCCGATCGCGCATGATCTATGCTCTATATAACTTATGTGCGCATCATACCTTTGATGCTATTGGGTCAGCTAGATACCCTCGATGCCTGGTCTAGGCAGCTCACGTCCCTTCCTTTTTGGGAGGCCTTGGGGGTTGAGAGCAGTCGTCATGGGGAGTCCTTGAACCCATGGACCCTTGCCGTTGTGCCCTGCAGGTGGTGGTGCATTGCATGTTCAGTCAGCAAAGGGGCCCCAGGTGTGGTGCTGTACTGTACTGTACTGCCGGAAGGTTAAGGGTTACGGTATTGACTATAGGTGCTGATTTACAGGGGCTTGTGGATCCCTGTGCACCAAGATGTTTAGCAGTCCTCGTTAATAAGCATTGGCACTGACTAAGCTTGCCGTGCATTGTTTGCCTTGCCCCTCCGCCCGTTGTGCAGATGCGCTCTGCGGTTGGCGCAGCGGCTAAGCACGCGCGGGGATTCTTCCAGACCTGTCGTGTATGTGCTCCGTGGGGGATTTAATGGTTTCGTGCGGCAGTATCGATATGAACATGACCTGGTGGAGGGGCTATGAAGACGCGTACTGGAGACGGTGACGCATGCGGTCTTCCGGTGGTTTGCGAATCTGGGTTTATTTGAATATTGACCTGGTTCCATGCTGCATGGGGCTATGGGATAGGCATTTTTTGGCCCAATCGTGTGTAGGTCATGGTCGGTGTTGCGATTCCGCGTACGGCCTACGCGAAAAGGGGGCCTTAAGTGCACAAGGGTGTGGGCAAAAGGCAGCGCGTGCCGTATGGTGTTTATGACGAATGGATTTAATACATGAGCTCAACAAGTTTTAAATGTTGTTTCATCGTATTTTTCATCGTATTTTGTCCATGCTAAACGTAAAGAGCTGCTGAACGTGTTCCAAATATGTACGACGTTCTCAGCGGTTCCGTTCCTCCAAGCGGGCGGCCAGGTAGAGGTTGCTATATGCCAAAATGTATAGACGTTGAGCGCGAACTACTTGATAAGACTTCTTCTGCTCAGAGTCCTTATGCCGCAACTCGAAGGCCTCGCTATTGTTACTGGTGAAGCAATCAACTAGACGCGAAATAAAATTATTTACGATTATTTGTTCGATGTGCACAAAGTAAATTTGATGGATGACAAGCGGAGAAGGCGCAAATAGCAATGGTCGGGACGGGGACCCTGCGCGGAGGGTCCTTGACGCAACAGGAGAACCTTCCAAAGGCAACTTTGAAGTACAAGAAATACAATGGCGACGTGGATCCTAGCCTACATGCAAAGGTAGTTGCCATGTCCTTGCTGAACGCGCTGTGTGCACCGCGGATTGCATGCCAGCATCTATGTGTACTTCCGCAGAAAACGCCAAGCCAACAGGTTGCGGAGGTGTCGCAAACTGGACGGAATGTGGAGGGTTGGCGGCCGCGTCCGCGTATTATCGAGCATCTGAACATAGCGGACTTCAGTCACCATGTAAGATAGGACAATTTGGGCACGCGCGTGCGTGTGATGCCACAGTGGGCGGGTTGAAGGGTTCTGGGGCTAAGAGGGGTGGCCCATCCCCCGGTTGACTTTTGACCGGTTCCCCCACTTAACCCGCGTCCCCGTCAGTCACAATCACACGGCTTTTACGTGTCCCTTCCCCACTGTAAGCTCTACTGGCAAACCCGTCTGTGTCAAGCGTTGCCCTTGGTACATGTCACGGCATGTGTGATGCTGTACCGGTACAGGTGGAATGTAAGGTACCCGTGGACGAACCCATCTTCCAGCCTTTTCCGCCGGAGGTCACTTTCCACAACTATGAGGCGTTTCAGACGTATGAGGCCACTCTCTACCTCCGTAACAATGACAATGTGAGGAAAGGGCGGCAGTGGAACGTGTTGGGCGAGTACGGGTCGGAAAGGGCACGATCATGCATGCTGTATGCTACACAATGTATACCTTTTGGTGTTTAATCAAAGGGCAAAGCAACTGTAACGGGGTCCCGTCAAGTCACAAGCATCCATCTTTATGGTTTTATATGGGCTGATCTGGGACGCTGGCGCCAGGAGGACGTCACGTAATGCGCGTATTGATGTGGGCCCTGGCTCCGGCGGTAACCATGCTATTCACGTGGCGCTTACTTCCATTCCATAACAGGTGTCGCGCCGCGTCAAGGTCCTGCCCATGGAGTCGCCATACTTTTCCGTGCGGCGCGCGGCGGCGACGGGCAAGGACGACAGCAAAGTCGCGACGGGCATGGAGGTGGCCTTCGTGGTTACCTTCCGGCCGGAATCACGGGATGACTACTCGTGTGACCTCGTGGTGTGCACTGAGCGCGAAAAGTTTGTGGTGCCGGTGCTGGCGGTGGGCGCATCGGCCGCGCTGGACTTCCCCGACCTGGTAGAATTCGGGTCCGTGCCAGCCAAAGTTGAGGCACGGCAGACGGTGTTCGTGCGCAACGTGGGCAGCAAGGCCGCGCACTTCAGCCTGTCGGCGCCGCAGCCCTTCACAGTGAGCCCAACAGCAGGCAACCTGGCGCCCGACGAGACGTTGCAATGCACCGTCACATTCGAGCCGCCGTCGGTGGGGCGGTACGAGGGCGAGCTTGAAATTCAGTACGATAGCGGCCGCTGCGTGTACGCACAGCTGCTGGGCAACGGTACCGAGCTGGATGTGGGCGTGTCTCAGGGGGTGCTCACGATGCTGTCCACGTTCGTGACCAAGTCCAGCCAGAAAACGTTCAAAATTGTCAACAACAGCGACAGCAGCGTGACGTTCTCCGTGAAGCAGCGGTCCAGCGCAGAACAGGACATGGCCATCACGACGCAACGCCTGAACACGCTGACGACGTCATCGCCGCGAGCCAATCACCGGAACGGTTCCGCTGCCGCCGACGCCGTCGGCGTCGACGCCTCCGCCGGTGGCGACACCGACGCGTCGTCGGAAGACGAGGACGCGATCTTCTCCAGCGCCGCTGCGCAGCTGTCGCGGCGGTTACATAAGGCCCAGCGGGAAGCGCTACTGGACGCGTACCTCTTCACTGACCGCAGCTTCACGGTCAACCCGGTGGAGGGCACCATCTGGCCACGCGGCGAGGTGGAGGTCGTGGTCACCTTCAGCCCCGACCACGCGCGCGACTACGAGGTGACCGCCTATGTGGACGTCGCGGGCCGTGCGGACCGCCTGCCCGTGGTGTTCAAGGGCCGCGGCCTGGGCCCCGCCGCGGTCTTCTCCTACGACGTGCTTGACCTGGGCGACACGTGGGTCAACACGCTGCACCAGTATGAGGTCGAGCTCCAGAACCGCGGCAAGATTGACGTGGAGTACAGGATGGTACCCCCAGGAAGCCCTTTTGGTAGCCGGTTTACTTTTGAGCCGGCCAGCGGGCGCCTGGCAGGTGGACAGATCCAGGTCATCAAGGTGAAGCTGCTGTCGGACCTGCTGGGTGCCTTTGACGAGACCTTCTCCTGGCAGATTCGTGGCAGCAGCGAGCCGCTCAGCCTGCAGTTCCGCGGCCGCGTGTGTGCGCCGTCGTTCGAGGTGGATGAGGAGGCACTGGACTTTGGGGTGTGCTCCTACGGGTTCAGGTAGGGCTGGGTGCAGAAGCGGACTGGGACGCGGGTGGTTTACGATGGTCGATGATAACCACCCGCGTCATCCCGCGCTTCCGGCAAGCATTTTATGGGCCTGGAATGATCGACGGCGCGGCGATAGGTTACATGTCGATGCATATTCGTTGACAGAATGTTTGGGGCCCACCGTCTCACATCCCTTGTTGGGCGAAGCTGGAACTGGAGGGTGGAGCCGGGCCAGCGCACACAAGACAAAACACGTGTTGCGTTGCGTTTGGTCCGTTGCGTCAACGCCTTTGGACTACTTTTGGGTTACTTCCTGCATATCTGATAAAAAATCCCTTCTAAGGATAGCACACATCGCACCCCGCGGCGTCCGCAGTGCGTTGTTGTGTGTTAGTGTGTTGCGTTAGTGTTAGTGTGTATTAGTCAGTGTGCTCACTCCATCGGCCTCACGGACGTGTATACCGCGTGTGAAAAGCTCTCCCACAGCGCAGACCTGCCAGATGCGCGGGTAATAGCGGAGCACCTTAGGAAGGTTTGGGGGGGCAGGGGCTAAGATGCTGCTGGCCGGCCAGGGCGTCCCCGGAAAGCCCCCGTAGCAAGCGCGAACCAGGCGAGAACTTGAGAGTGCATCCACAACTTATCATGCACCCGCAACTCACATTGGGGGATTTCCTAGTGCGCCATCTCCTTGACTCCAGCGACCTGGACAAGGATGCTCTTGGGGCGCTGTCGTGGCCTGTTCTGTTGTGGGGTGGCACTCCCAACGCTTGCACCCCCCCGGCCGCTGGTGTTGCCGTTGTTGCCGCGGCAGGTACACAAAGGAGTTCACGCTCACGAACACCAGCGAGATCCCGCTGCGCTTCCTGTGGCGGGTACCCACCGACCACGAAGAGCCGCGCGAGTTCCAGATCCTTCCGGCCAAGGGCACCATTCTGCCGCACGGCCGCGTGAAGATCAATGTGGAGTTCATCAGCAGGACGGTATGCACCAGAGGAGCGGGCGCGGGAGGGGGCGAAAGGTGGAGGAAAGGAAGTGCAAACACAACACCGTGCTAGAGGGTTTAGGATGGAAGAAAGGATATTGCGCACCCAACCGAGGCCCAGGGGCAGATGAGGGGGTTGATGGTGGTGGGATGGAGGGCGGACGGTGAAGGCATGGGCCGAGGGAATAATGCCTGGGCAATGCCGCGCTTGGGATGGGGAGACATGATATTAATGGCAGCAGCAGAAGAAGAAGGAATAGTGGAGGACCGTCCAGCTGCTGATCGCGAAATTACGTAGCTCTTTTCGCGTAGCGAGGAGCCGTGGCGAGGAGGCGTTGCGAGGCGATCCAAAAGCAAGACGGTAGTGAGGGGCCCGGCTCTAGCTTTGCCTCCTCCCTTCCTCCCTCCTCCTCTCCCGTTACGACTTGCTAGCGCTGTTCCTCCCGCCGGGGATGGCAACTTTTCATGTTTTTCCTACCGCGCCGCGTTGCTCTTTCTCCTTGGGCTCGCTTGCGTAGGTTCAGCGTTACCGCACAGAGCTAGTCATGGACATCCCCGGTGTGGCGGAGCGCCAGCTGGTGCTGCCACTCACAGCAGAGTGCGCGGTACCCAAGCTCAGCCTGTATTCGCGGACGTTGGAGTTTGGGGAGTGCAGCCTGCGCTACCCCTACAAGCAGGTGCGAACTGACTGGCAAGGCGGGCGGGGGGCAGGGCGGCGGCCGCAAATGGCCTCATATGCCGGTTGGTGCTCTCTTCATGTGTGTGTGTGTGTGTGTTCTCTCTCCGCATTAACTGCACTCGTGCCGTGTTGTGTTGCGCACGGCTATGTCTTTTGGGGGTTGGCGGGGACGGTGCGGGTGTTGGGATGCTGTGCCGCCCGCTCGGGTAGCGGTGCTGAGAGTTCAAGTTGGCACTTAAAGCTGGGTCTCACATGGACGTGCGGCCATTAGCGGCTGCTGATCCATCGTGCCCTGCATGGCGGCCCCTGTTGTTGGAGAGCAGAGTACATGGGGCTAGGGAGATGTTGGGCGCCTTACATGGGGCCTTGAAGGCGCATGGCCAAAGCGGCCAGAGTCGCTGGTTTGCTCACGCGGCCAAGAAGTCCTATGACCCCGCGGCAGCTCTGGCACATGCTTTTGTGTCCTGCCATCTTTCCGGGGCGTTGATTGCGGTTTTATGCCTGCCATACCAGCCTTGCCAAGTCAGGCCACCATGTAGAAATCATCTCTCCCCACCACACACACACACACACACACACCCCGATGCACACAGCTCCCCTCTTATCGCTACGCTCTTTGCTTCGCTCCTGTATCCCCCACGCAGCTCAGTTTCATTGATCTCACATATACCCCGTTTGTTTTTGACAAACCCCTCCGCCCGCAGGAGATGCGCATCGTCAACGAGTCCAAGCTGCCCGCCAAGTTTGAGGTGCTGCCGCAGGAGCCCAACTCCCTAGGCTTGGCAACCTTCACTGTTGAGCCGTCTTCAGGCGGCATTCCCGCACGCGGAGAGCAGGCGGTAGAGCTGACCCTCACCACGTACACGCTGGGCAGAATCCAGATCCCAGTACGCATCAAGGCGCTGGGATCCAAGGGGCCGCCCCTGGAGCTCATCCTTAACGCCAAGTGCATCGGGCCACAGCTGGATTTCGGCGATGACATCGATGGACGGTGAGTGCGGCGATTAGGGAGTGAGGTGCGGATTGGGATCGATCCATCCGGCACCACATGGCACGCCTACTCACCCTTAAGAAGCGTCCACTGACGAGTACTTGTTCTTTATTTTAATGATCACAACCCTGCAACGGCGGAGCTCCTAACTGGGGATGTGCGCCTGTGCCAAGCCCGCGTGCGTGTGTGGATTTCCCTCGCCTTCTTCTTACGTCCCAGACTGCACATTGCTTTTCTTCTCCTCGGAATAGCTCGTAAGGGCAAGCTTGTCTTTAACTCAAGAGCTTTCCATCCTTCCCCGTTCACCTTTACGTCCCCACAGAACCATCACTCCCACAATTGCTTTTGACAAGGTGCCGGTCCTCAAGGAGCATTCGTTGCCACTGACGATCAACAACATCAGCGCCATTCCCGCGGACTTCAAGCTCTTCATCGAGTCCAAGGACAGCGTCTTCAGCGTGGAGCCGCGCCAGGCGCACCTGGAGCCCGGGGAGAGCTGTACGGCACATGTGATTGTCAAAATGGACGAGAGTATGGATTTTTCGGATACACTGCACGTGCTGATCCAGGAGGGTGCCGATATGCCCGTCCCACTGACCGCCAGCGGTGAGTCCGAGCGCCAGGCGGTTGGTGGCCGGGGGAGGGGGAGGAAATAGCGGATTCGGAGGGCATGGGGATTGTCTTGACTTCGGGCCTACCGTCTGCGAGGGCGGCCATATGCCACACAGTGCAAGTTAGTCCAGTGTGGCATGGCGCAGCGCACCGGATTGTTGCCTTGCACCGTGCAGCGGATGGGGCTTTTCGGGAAGCTTGAGTTTGGGGTTGGTTAAGGACTCCTTGGCGTGAAGCGCCCCATCCCTGAGCACCCAGTCGGAAACCCAAGCATGGCCCGTATCTGCCCAGGGGAAGTGTCAGCTCACCACGGTCAACAGCTGTTGTCCGTGTGCTCTTGCAGCCCACCTGCCCCCTCTTCTTGCGCGTAGTGGTGCCAACGCGCAGTCATAGAACGACTTGACATGCATAATGTGTGTATCACATATTCGCACGGGCGCAGGCACGGGCAGCGCTATCCTTGCTGAAGAGCTGTCCAGCGGCCTGGTGGACTTTGGGTACCAGTTTGTGGGTCGGCCCTTCAGCCGGGAGGTGACAGTCTACAACCTGGGACGTAAGGGCGTGTTGCTGGCCTGGACCTCCGCAAGGTAAGGGAGGGAGGGCGACCCGCGGGTCGGCATGGTTCGGTGGTGGCGCTGTGGCGTACCAGCGCCTCTGTCCGATGCAGTTGAGGGAACGGATCGCGGGAGGAGGAGGGGCGGGACTGGGGGACGGCAGTTTGGCAGCTCTACTGCGGCGTACCGTGATGGCTCTTTTGCGTGTTAGCATTGCAGCCACGTTCCTGACGCTTGGAGGTCTTGGGTGCATGGATAGGGAGGGAGACAAGGTATGCATGAGTACTGGTGTGCACGCGACTGGGCCATGTGTCTTGACATATCATGAAGCGAAATGCTTGGGCTCGTGTTGTTAACCGGCAGCATCTTTCCTTTAGCCCTGCGTCCCCTGTTGCGCGAAGTGTTGGTTGTTCGGGTGATAATGTCCTTTTGTGGCTGGCTCTTATAATGGTGCCTTCTTCACGAGGCATGCAACTTGTGTCCTTCCCGCCGGTTTGCGCACGCTATGGCCCAGGTTCGATGAACTGAAGCGCGACTATGCACGCGCGCACCGCGGCTCGGGCAAGAAGTTCGACCTGTCGCTCATCCCCCCCGAGACGCATCCCGTCTTCAACATCTCCCCCGACAAGGTGCGCCCTGTGTCCCTCAGCTGCCACATGGCCCATTTGCAGCTGTTCCAAGAGTCGTGTTATGCAGTCATCCCTAGCCCACTTCCGCCCCTTGGGCCCCAATTTGCGCACATGCGCCTCTGGTGTTTCCTTCCCACTCCTGCCCGCTTTCGAGCTTCCCTGATACGTTGGAACCCAGCCCATCACTTCTACTGGAAATTTTCGTCGGGGTTTATTTTCCGTCCGGGTTATTTGACCTCACCCCCGCTGAGAGCATGCATCCCTCCGTGTTGGCCTCTTCCCAGGTCCAGCTAGGCCCAAAGGAGGCAGCCACCTTCGCCATCACCGGAAATGCGCTGGTGCCGGGTGAGGTGCGCGAGCAGCTCGTGTGCAGCGGCACCTTTGGCAACTCCAACAAGAGCGCACGGCGCGTGTTCGAGACGTTCATGCGCGCCGATGTGGCTACGCCGCTGTTGCACTTTTCCGAGCGGCTGCTGCACTTCCGGCACGTGTACAAGAAGGGCATGCCGGTGGAGACGCAGACCCGGCCGCTGACTATCAAGAACATCTCGCCGCTGCCGCTCACGTTTGCGCTGAGACCTAGCCCGCCGTTCGCCGTGGACCGCAGCTCTTGGACGCTTGAGGTGGAGGAGAGCGGCACCGTCAACGTCACTTTCGATCCCAACTTTAAGGAGGATCTCCAGGTGCGGCTCGGTCACTGTACCCAACATTCCTGTCCAGTTCCTTCTCCTTCTTTCTCTTCTTTTTCTTGTCCTTCATCCTTACTTCCGCTTCATGTGTGGATAGCCTGCTCCATTTGCGTGATGGAAAGTTTGCGTGAAAGGCAGGCGCTCTGTCCGTCTCGCCATGCCTCTTTGCCTCATTATCCTCATTATCCTTAACCTTACTTACCTCCTTGCATTTTTGTTGTTAAGGTATAATTCCCATACGAACCAGAGCCCCCTGCCTCCTGCTTCTCCTTATCTCCATGTCCGTTTCCTGGGCCCCGTCAAATCCATCCTTACTGTCCCAACGATCCCTTGCCCCACGCAGAGTATCCAAACGCGCACAAAGCTGCAAGTGCTGTACGTGGATAATCCGCAGCGCGACGCGGTGGACCTGCACGGCGACATTGACTTTCCGAACCTGTCCTTCGAGAACCACACCATCGACTTTGGCTCTGTGCTCCTGGACACCACACGGCGCGTGCCCGTGCGCGTCACGAACACCTCCAACGTGGACGTCGTGTACTCGTGGGCCTGGGACAAGGGCTCTGTGCAGGAGGATGTGAACTCGGTCGCGTCCATGTCGCTGCGGCAGGGCCGCCCGAAGCCGCCGCCCACGCAGCTGTTCGACGTGATGCCCATCCGCGGCGTGCTGCGCCCCGGCGAGGCGGAGACGATGACGTTCTCCTTCTTCGCGTACCCCGGCGTCAAGGCGTCCTGCTCAGCTGTGTGTCAAGTGGAGGGCGGCCCCGCTTACACGGTTCACATGTCTGGAGAGTCCAACAACATCAAGTACAGCGTCGAGCCGCAGGTAAGTCGCGGCGATTCTGGCGGCGTTGTGGCGATGCTGTGATGAGCGGCTCAGGGTGGGGTGGGGGCCCTAGGGCGGTTTTCCCCCTTCAGCCCTTACCTGGGCTTCCGTGGGCAGCCTTCACAGCGCACGCGCTGTGAGCTCCTCACTACGGACTTACTTGGGCTTTTTACCAATGCCACAGGCGGCTGTTTACATGCCCATTTGTTTGATTAGGTGGCATGGATTACGTTGGGGCTTGGGTGTCGTTTGGCATTCGGCGTGTTTCATTTCCCGCAACCCGGGGATTATCCACTGTCCGGGTGCCCGCAGCTGCTGGACTTTGGCATTCAGCTGTACGACCGCACCGTGGAGCGCGAGCTGACGCTGAGCAACTCGGGCAAGGTGCCGTTCACCTACACCTTCAACTTCACGCGGCTCTCACGGCCTGGCATTGTGGAGGCGGTTCCGGTGACGGGGACCGTCGCACCGTTGACCAAGGAGACCGTCAAAATCAGGGTAAGGCCGGCTGCCATCCTTCTAGGGGGCCTGGAAACCTAGCTAGCAAGAAACAGATTGACCTGATTTGAGACGAACTTGCCTCTTGTCCAGACAAGCTCATCCGGCAGTCTGGTCTGCACTGCAACTCACTGCCATGCTGGTGCTTTGATGCTACACGGGGCCCCCCCTCCCGCACACACACGCTCGCGCATTTGAAGGATAGCCAGTCTGCCTGCTGCAGCCATCCCTTAAAGCGTTACCTTTTGCCTTGTTACTGCGTGCTACAGGTTTGCCCGGGCATTCCTGACAAGCTGGTGGAGACCCTGCTGGTGGAGGTGGCTCACTTCGAGCCAGTGCCCATCCAGGTGGGATTTGGGCGTGGGAGAGCTTGGCAGCTGGGCTCATTGCGTGGGGAGTCAAACCAGCAGCAGAGAGAGCTCGTTGAGAACACACACAGCTGTTGTTAGCACTTGTTGTTGCCATGGCTGCATGCCTTCCGTGCACGGCCGCTCGGCTGCCCGTCAACGCCCCGCCTGTTTGCCTGTACCCTTGCAGATTCTGGTGGAGGGTGCCTATGCATCCGTATCCATCAACCTGCCGCGCGTACGCGATGAACAGTTCATGGCATGTGTGGAGAAGGCACGTCTTGCAGTCATCAATGCCGCGGTTGCCAACGCGGCCGATGAGGCCAACAAGCCCGGCGAAGCCGTTCTATCGCTCTTCGCTGGCCTGCAGCGCAACGCAACACGCAACATTCGTGGGGGGACCCTACCCGGCGGCCCGCCGCCGGACGGCGGTGTAGCGGCGCCGGGCGCCGCCGGTGACGCGGTGGCAGCAGGTGTGTCCCCGCCGGCCTCGGCGCTGGTGCCTGCCTCCGCACCACCGCCGGCAGGAGGAGGGTCGCGGGCCGCGCAGGCTGGCGGTCGCGGCAATGCCGGCGGCAGGCGCAGTAACGTCATTGCCGGAGGCGCCGGCGCTGCTGCGGGGAACGCCGTCCCGCGGGCCCCATCGGCACACTCCATACCTGTGTCCACCACGACACAGCTATCGTCAGAGAAGCGTGTGGAGGTGGAGGCGGAGCGGCTGCGGCTCATCCAGCAGCTGCTGGAACGCGAGGTAGAGCGCCGCCGCCAGGCGGGCCGCCAGTCTGTGTCTATCGACCCCGGTGCCGCGACGGACGGGGCAGACTCGCAGCACCTCAGCGCATCTCCCACGATGCAGCATGAGGGCAGCTTGCTCGTCAGCCCCTCCGCGTCTGCGTCGGGAGAGGCGCGCGGCGCTGCGGCGCGGTCCAACACCGGCATCAGCAAGGCCACGCTGACACGTGCAGTATCTGTGGCGACCATCGGCACCGTCGGCTCGGGCAACCGCGGCGGCCCACCCCTCGACGACGAAGCACGCCGCGCGGCCCGCCTGGCGGCGCTGCAGCCGCCGCTCCCGGCGCTGGCAGTATCACACTACGTGCTGGATTTTGGCTATGTGGTCAAGGGCCTTACGCGCACCCGGAAATTTCGGATCACCAACACCGGCACCCAGCAGGTATGCTGCAGTGCGCAGGGGCGGCAGCGACAGCGGCAGCGGCGGGGTGTTTTGGGGGGTCGAAGAGCTTATGTCTGTAGTGGCTATGGCTAGCATCCCTGTGAAAGTCCGCCACTAAGCGACCGCTCCTCCTTTCCTTTCACAGCAGATCATCTCCAATCCATACAGCCCTGCACACGGCCAGCGAACCTTCAGCCGTATTGTATACAGCTCGCAACACCGGGACGTTGCTCCCCCTTTCTGTTCTGCTCCCCCTTGTAACTCTTCCATCTCCTTCATTCCTCATCCTGCGCCTGCTCGCTGGCACACCTTAGCGACAGCTCGCGCTCCCATCCCTACTTCTCAGCTGGCTTATCCTTCTGCCTCCATTCTCCTCACAGGTGTCCTTCCGCTTTGAAAAGGGCCTTCTAGAAGTCCACGGCTTCAAGGTGGATCCCGAAGTAGTGGCGCGGCTGCCGGGCGCGCCGGACTACGGCTTCGTGGATGTTGCTGTGACCATGCAGGCCAACAAGTCCAGCGTGCAGCCGGGCCCCTTGGAGCTGATCTACCCGCTCAACATCAAGGGCTCGCCGCCGGTGCTGCTGACGCTGCGCGCGCACGTCCAAATGCCGGACATGCGTATGAGCACGGAGGTGAGGTCATGGAGCCTTCCCGTCCTAACACGTAGTTCCAATGGCTGGGAGGCTAAGTGTTCGATTGCTTCCTGTCTCTGGCTCTCTTTCATTCTCTCGCTCGCTCGCTCTCTTTCTTTCTCTCTCTGCCCCTCTCTCTCTTCCTCGTAACTCAATCTCTTGCTCTCTTACTCCCTGACGGCTTATGGGTCAGGCTGCACTTCCCAGGCCTTAACGCCCCCCCCCGCCTGGCATGCCTCCTGATCTATCCGACTACATCGTATTTCTCGCCTCATGTTTTCCCTTCTATCCGTTGATCTCCCTCGCAGATTTTGGACTTTGGTTCTTGCCTGACGGGTCAGTGCAAGGTGTTCACGGTGCAGCTGCACAATCAGAAGCAGGTGCCGTGCGAGTTCTCGATCAAGCGGCCGGCAGAGGTAATCAAGGCCAAGGATTGGCAGTTCTTTGTGTGCGAGCCGTCGGAGGGCACCCTGGAACCGGACCAGCGGCTAAATCTCAAGGTGGGTGCGGACGGGTGGTAGTGGATAGCTGGGCCTGCCAGCGGACAGGCCTTGAGACAGCGCTCGCTCTGGCGCTGTCGGCGATTGGAAGGGCAGGGGCCAAGGATGCTAAGTACCAAGAGTAACACTCATGCCAGTGGGACAATGATACAGAGCTGGTCCAGGACAGCTGGGGATGTGCTATCGCCGAAGGGAGTGTGCAAAGACGTTGGCCTCTTCAGATACCCCATTCCTCATGCTTGGAGGACAATGCTAAAACCGAAGCGAAAGCCCAGCAAGAAGCGGGCTGAGGATGGAAGAAAGGGGTCATACCTCCCCACAATTGCCCTGTGGGGCCTACCACTCGGTGATTCTCCTAGCCCACCTAGCCTGTACCCTATAAGCAAGAAGACACAAGGAACCCAACCCTCGCTGGCCGTCATGCTCCGCAGGTCATCTTTACGCCCGTCCTCAACCGCGATGCGCCGTACAGCCAGGGCATTCCTATCCGCATCAACCTCAACAATAAGGTCAAGGAGCTCCAGTGCACGGGCCGCGGTCTGACGCCCAAAGTGACCTTCAACCCCAACTTTGTGGACTGCGGCCCGATCCTGCCGTTCTTCGAGGGCCAGGCGCCCAACGAGGCCAAGGTCACCATGTCCAATCCCTGTCCCTTCCCCATCGAGGTTGTATCTCTGGATTTTGACCCGCGCTACGCTGCGGACGAGGAGGCGCTGCGAGTCATGGAAGGGTAAGCAGCTGCTCCTCGCGGATGGGATATGAAAGGGGTTTGGCTGCGAAGTAGTTGCTGGCCGGGGCTGGGGGGAGCGGATTGCCGTCAGCTAGGAGATGCGGGAAAATGGAGGGTGCTGCCGCTCGTGAAAGCCAGAGGAGCCGGCTGGCCGCGCGGAGGGCTGCGGGACTTATTTCAGGTGCATCTGGCGTGTAGAGCCCAAGATGCGCCTATTTGCCTAAATTTCTTGTGCCAACGGCGCTTGCTTTACCTTGGCACTTTTGACATTGGAGTATGCTCCGCCGCGCGCGGCCCGGGGCCGCTTTTCGGCTTTCGCCCTTTTCTGTAGGTACAACGAGAACGGCATCCTATATCTGCCGCCGCTTCACCCGGGCGATGCTCTGTGGCCCGAAGTAGTGGAAGCGGCGGAGCAGCGAAAGCGCATGGAAGCTGCAGCAGCGGAGGCGCAGGCGGCTGCGGACGCCGCCGCCGCAGCAGGGGTGGACGCGGCGGCAGCCGCGGCGGGCGCTGCCGCTGTGGATGGCGTCGGCAGCCTGGAGGCAGTGGCTGGTGGCGCAACAGCAGCCGCAGCCGCAGCCGCTAAGAAGGCTGCGGAAAAGGCGGTTGTTCTGGTTGTTGGCCCGCACCTGGCGGGTAAGACGACGCAGGCGCGCAGGCTGGGGGTTCGGTACGGCGTGCCTGTGGTGCAGCTGGATGAGATGCTGCTGGCGGCGGCGGATCTTGAGCCGCCGACAGCGGAAGAATTGGCCGCCGCCGCCGCGGCAGCTCCTCCACCACCACCGGCGGAGGCTGACAGCGGCGACGCCTCTGAGACCGCGGCCGAGCTGGCGGCAGCCGTTGCCACTGACTCGGCTCCGCCGCCACCGCCACCTTTTGACATGGAAATATCCGACTTGCTCTTCGACAAGGTGCTGATGGATCCTGATTTCGACGGTCAGCCCGATTACGTACCGCCGCACACACGGCTGACGACGGAGGAGCTTTATGGTCTTGTTGTACGTGGCCTGCGGCACCTCCTGGCGCACCAGCCGACGGTGTACGGCAAGGGCCTCGTGCTGGACGGGCTGGCGTCACGTTACCTGCCGCCAGCGGTGGCGGCTAAGGCGCTTCTAGAGGCGCTAGGCATGGAGCAAGTCGTACCGCCACCGCCGCCACCACCCGAGCCGGTGTTGGACCCAAAGGCGGCCAAGAAGACGCTGAAGAAAGGCGAGGAGCCGCCGCCGCCGCCACCGCCGCCGCCACCCAAACCAACAGGCTGGCGGGGGCCGTACACGGTGCATGTGGTGCATTTGGCTCCGGAGCCGACGCTTCTGGCGGGCCGGCTGCGCCTGCAGAACGATGTTCGCGCTGCGGAGGCGATGCTTGCCGACAAGGCTGGCGTGGAAGCCGAGGGCGAGCTGTCGGCAGGGCCGTCGTCGCTACTCGGCGGTGTTGCGCCTGCCGACAGCCCCACGCAAGTGGTGGGAGCGGAGGCCTCCAAGTTCGCCACCGGCGAGGGAGTCGCTGCCGCTACCGCTGCAGTCGCCGGCGGCACGTTGTCGGTCGCAACACGAATGCCGGCGGCTGCCACGAACGAGGCTGCATCGGCGTCGCCATCGACGCAGCCGCCGGCGGCGGCGTCCAGCTCTGCAATATCCTCTGAAGAAGCCCAGAGGCAATATTTGGAGGAGGCGACACGTCTACTCGCAGAATTCAACGATACCATAATGGCGCCGCTGGAGGTGGAACTGGGGCCGTCGGGGCCAGACAACGTCGTGGTGCTGCGCCGCGCGGCAGCGGAGGGCTCGGAGGACAAGGTACACAAGGCGGTGGTGGGACTGGGCTTTCGCCTGGGCGTTCTGTCCACGGCGCTGCCCAGCGCACAATGCGACGCGGAGCTGGTGCCGCCGAGATACGCGATGCAGATTGTCCCACGGCCGCGGCCACGCCCGGCGCGCACGCCTGTGCAGCGCTTCAAAATCTTCACCTTCATCGATCTGCTGAACGGCGCGGAGCCGCCACCGCCACCGCCGCCACCGCCGCCGCCGGCGCCTCCGTCCCCCACGGCATCGGGACGGCCCAAGGGTTCCACGCGTGGCAAGAAGGGCGCAGCAGTGGTGGAGGAGCCGCCGCCGCCACCACCGCCGCCTCCGACGCGGAAGCTCATCCCCGACACGCGGTGGGTCATCCCTGCCGGCGGCTCTGTAGAATTGCTGGTGCAGTTTGCCTCGCCCGAAGTGGGCAAGGTCACGGAGACACTCGCGTTCGAGGTGTTGGGCGGGGAACGTCTCAACACGCTGGTTCTCACAGGCACCTGCGACTACCCGCACATAAGCACCGACTACCGCAACGTGTTTTACAAGAAGGTCAAGGCGCGGCCGCAGACGCCGCTGATCCGCAGCCAGTACATCATCAGCAGGGGCGTGTTTGAGTTCGGGCCGCTGCTGCACAGCAAGGACGCGACGGGCTACCTAGAGGGTGCGCATCCCGACAACACGGCGCGCATCCGCATTACCAACAACGGCCTCTTCGATAACCACGTCGAGTTCATGCTCAAGTCGCAGGAGCAGCTGCTACAACAGGCGGAGGAGGCCCCCACGCCAAGCAAGTCTGGGGGCCGGGATGGGATGGGATGGGATGGGATGGGAGTACAGCGAATGTAAAAGACTTCCGGGGGCATTGGACAACGTTGAGATGGTGTGGGTTTGTATCTACGGGTCTTGCCTGTATCCGGGCGCGGGTGGGATTTTAGCCTGCCACACGCGCCTGCTGAAGGCCGACCCTAAGCCACGTCGCCTCCGTCCTCCACCTTCTTTCCTGCCCTCTCTCCCCGCGTCGTCCCGGGCCACACAGCCAGCGGCAGGCCGGGCAAAAAGGAGAAGGAGACCAAGAAGCCGGACCCCAAGAAGCCAGATCCGAAGAAGGCTGACCCCAAGAAAGGCGACAAGAAGGGGGCCGAGAAGGAGCCCGAACCGCAGCCGGCTGGCCTCCAGCTGGACAGCGTGTTCTTGTTGCACCCACAGTCGCTCGACCTCAAGGTGGATGAGACGCAGGAGCTGGTGGTGTACGCCTTCCCCAAGGCGGATGGTCTGGTGGAGGACGTGATCGTGTGCAGGTGGGTTGCTGCTGGGGCCCCGGGAGGGCGCTGCTACTGCTGTTGCTGGGGCTGGGCCTCGAGGGCGCACGAGCTGAAGATGACCTCAGGAGCACAGGGGGTAGCACACCGGACGCGAGGAAGCACCAGGGATATTTGGGGATGGGCTAGGGGCGCTCGCGGGTGCTCCCTGGGCGCAGCGAAGCGGCCTTTTTCTACCTCTGTCTCCTCCCCACCCCTCTCCCTCTCTCTCTCTCTCTATCTATCTATCTATCTATCTATCTATCTATCTGTCTATCTATCTGTCTCTCGCTCTCGCTCTCGCACAAGCGTGCTGTCTCGACCTCTAGCTAGCTGGCACGGTTCTGTGAGGTCCCGGATTGCTCTGGTTGTGCTGGCAAGGTCCCAGAGCTCGGACGGAGCTCTGACCCGCAAAGCCACGGTGCTGACCAACGCGTTGGGACTTGGGTGGTGGTGACATTTTACAATTCAAAACGCTGGCTGGACATTTGTTGATGCAGTTCCCGTGTGTCTGTGTGTGGCTGGTGGGCTGCGGCTCTGCAGGATCAAGGACAACCCCACACCTGTGGAGTTCCCTATTTCGGTCATCGGCGCCAAGCCGCAGGTCCAAGTGCGGCTCAACGATGGCACTGCGCCGCCCGACCCCGCAGCCCCCATTCCTGCCGGCCCGCCTGTACCCAACAAGCTGCTGACGGAGGGCATACTGGTACGGCATCTACGGGCAGACGTCTGACGCGATTGGCATCCTTCCCTTTCCCACAGCTGCCAAATCGCCCCGCAATATATTTATATATTTATATACAGCAGTCGGGCGTAACTACCTAACCGAGCACGCATAACAGGTTCAGCTCCCTCTGCAGGCCAATTGGCCACCCCCAAATCGCTTTTGTATTTCGCCGACGGTACTGCTCTCCTCGTCAACCCAGTCCGGCAAGGGAGGCACATCCATAAGGGCAGTGTCCTTCATTGCTCATTGTTCTGGCCCTTGCTGCCTGGCTTGCTCCGCCGCCTTCTCCCGCCGCTTCCCATCTCCCGCCCCGACCTCTCCGGCACGGCCTCTGTCCCTATTTTGTCCTCCACTGCGCAGTTTGAGCGGCTGTTGGTGAACAAGAAGGACATAAAGACCTTCACCATCACCAATCCGGGGTTGCTACCCATCAAGTGGCGTCTCAACAACCTGCAGGCGATGCCCAAGGAGTTCACGGTGTATCCGCAGGTGGGTAGGGAGGGCAGCGATTTCCTCGACCAGCCCCCAACTGCCGCGTCCTTCCCTGCAGTGACGTAAGCAAGAGATTTCCGGCTGCCTACCTCTCCTTATTCTCATGGCTTTTGTTCTGATGTGCGCCGCTTCCGTTCTGAATCATCCTTTCCTTTCCTCCGCCCGTTGTGTCCTGCCGTGTCCCGTCATGTCACGGCCTTTGCTTGGTTTGGGTTCGCAGTCGGGCGAGATACCCGCCCGTTCCGACATCGTGGTGACGGTGGAATTCTCAGCGATGGAGAAGCGCGTGTGCGAGGCCAAGCTGGTCCTGGAGGTGCTGGATGCGCAGGAGCTGCAGGGCGTGGCGCACAGCATTCCACTGCCCATCAAGGGAGAGGCCTACAAGATCGAAATCGACATCAACTTCCCACAGGTGGGGTGCTTAGGGTTCACATCGGCCCCAGGCGCAGCATTAAACCGGCCCGTTACCGATGCGCAAAGCCAAGTCTCTAGTATTGCAATCCTCGCCAATCTATTTCTCGTTCCTCAGCTCTCAGGGAACTCTCAGGGCCATGGTTAGAACTGGCGCAGCAAGCCGCAATGCAAGCTGTAATGCTGCCACATCGCAGATATCCTGTTCCGACAACCTTCCGAACCCGTTTGATCCCGCCTGACAGGTCAACTTCCCTGGAGTGGATTATGGCACGTTGCGTGTTGTGGACGATGTCGCCAAGTCTGTTGCCATCAAAAACACCGGTAAGTGGCTTTGTCCGGCGTACGGCTTGGCATTGCCCCAGTCACAGCGCACATACTTCTCCCCCGGACACGCCTGGCGGCAGGGCGTCTATCCACGCCCTGTTTTTTCCTCAAATTCCCCCTCACCTTCCCCCAAACACCCCCGTACCGCTCTGGCCACTCGCCAGGCAAGTACGCCATCGCGTATAACTACACCATGAAGCCGGGGTCTGCACTGCAAGGCCTGCTCACCATCACCCCCTCCTCCGGCACGATCGACCCCGGAAAGGACGCCAAGATTGAAATGGCATGGAACAAGGACAAGTCATTGCGGTAGGCAGAGGGCGGCGTGCAGCGGAAGGAGGGGTTGTAGACAGGGGATGGCTGCGCTGCTGACTTGGGGCGAGGGTGGGTTGCGAAGGAGGAGGGGCCACGGTTTGCCGCCCCCCCGATGCGCCGAGATGGATATGATGCAAAGTGCATCCATGTAACTATCTTGTGTTCCTCGCCTCCTGTTGTTGCGCTCTCTGCCGCTTTCCTTTCCCAGCCTACGACGCCAGGGCATACAACCCGTCGCCGCTTCTGCAACCCCACACATATACATACCCAACCGCAACCGCGCTCGTTTCCGTCTTCCTCACAGGAACGAGGTGACACTGGTTGGCAACAGCGACGTGACCCTGTCCATCATCGAGCCGCTGACCACCAACCGCGAGGACACCATCCCCATCCAGATCTCCGCACGAGCCGTCTTCTCCAAGTATGCTGTCACACCCGCGCGCGGCATACACTTTGGCCCCGTCACCTACAACACCGCCTCCAAGCCCAAGGTCGTGGAAATCACCAACCTGGGACAGTTTGAATTCCGCTACCGCCTCTTTAACTACGCCAATGGCCTGCCTGCGGCCACGCCGCCTCCAGCAGCGGCTGGCGGTGGTAAGGGTGCCTCGGTGGCCAAGCCCGGCAAGGCGGCGACGCTGCAGCCGCTGGCAATCGGGCCCTTCACGTTCGACCCACAAGAGGGCGTTATCCCACCGGGAGGCAGGAAGGAGGTAGCGGCGGTGTTCAACGCTGCTGGCGCATCCACGTACTCGGAGGTTCTCGGTATCGATATCAGCGAGCGGGACTTTGCGGATCAGCCATCAGGCATTCCCATTGAGGTCGCCGGCGAGTCGTGCATCCCAGGCATCGACGCGGAGAACACCGTTGCCATCTTTGAGGAGCACGTCATCTCGCCCTCCCTAGACCCTTTCAACCCCATCAACAACGAGTTCTCGACACGTGAGCGGGTGTTCAACTTTGGCGCCGTGCTGGCGCAGCTCGGTGTCATCGAAGCCGCGCCAGCCAAGGAGACCGCTGCCAAGCCGGCGGAGTCACCACCGTTGTCGCCGCGGCCGGGGGCTAAGAAGGGCAGCGCCAAGGGCGCCAAGGCTGCACCCAAGGCGGCTGCAGAGCCCGTGGAGCCGTTGCCGTCAGCGGCCGCGGCTTCCCATGCGGTCCGTGCAAACCTGAAGTTCATCAACCCGGTGAAGGTGCCGTGCGTGGTCAACTTCACCATCAAGCCGCGGGGTAACCTGCCGCCAGGTGTGTGTCAGGGCCGGATGCGGGCACAGGTACACGGCGAGGCTTTTGATTCCCGATACATATAAAATGGCTTTTGTTCCCTGTATTCTGTGTTTTGGGCGACCAGTCAGGCGAGAGCCCCATGCCCTTGTCACGCAGGCCAGGCAGGCACACGCTCGCCCACGCCATTCCCCCTTAGGTGTCCACACACACTTCGTGTTTAAGCGCGCCGATGCGACTGACCTGCGCTCACGCAAGCTGCTCCTGGCCAACCTTCTTGCCCTGCCAAGGAACGACTACTTGCCCCTGCTATTATTATAACAAATCATTTCCTTTTATCACGAACCGTCCGACCTGCCAACACGCCGATGTAAGCCTTTCATGATCCTTTCCCTCCTACCCCCACTGCAGGTACGGCCTTTCCCATGGAGGTCTCCCCTGCTCAGCTGGTGATCCCGCCCCTGGAGTACCGCTATACTGCCATCTACTTTGCGCCGCGTGCCATCCAGTCCTACGTTGCGACTCTGGAAGCGGTGGTGGAGAACGGCGGGGATCCAAAGACCAAGTCCTTCTCCTGCGAGGTGCGCGGGGAGGGCACGCTGCCCTCCCTTGCCATCACCGAGCCCACGGTCATGGACACCCAGGGCCGGCCCGTGCTGCGCTTCCCACGCTTGCTGCGTGGCCGGAGCTCCACATTGCGAATCGCGCTCAAGAATAACGGCATTTTGCCGGCCAAGGCGCGACTCGACATGGCGCCGCATCCTTCATTCCGGCTGGAGGGAGCGGGCGGTGGCGGCGGCGGCGGTAGCGGCGGTACCGTCACCTCGGAAACGTTAACAGTGGAGAGCAAGCGCGGCGTGTCGTACAATGTGGTGTTCACGCCAGCGGATGTAGGCCCGGTGCAGCACGAGGTTCACCTGCGGGTGGCGAACAACCCGTTCGAGGACTACCGCTTCCTGCTTACCGGCGAGGGCTACCAGGAGGATGTGACGTTCGACATGCTGCCCAATGACGCTCTCGACGTGCTGCGGCTACAGGATGGACCCGTGGGTCGCCCCGTAACTGCCGTCTTTGCCCTGCGCAACCATTCCGCGGTCAAAAACTTCCGCTTCCGTTGGCCAGCACCCGGCGCCCCCAGCTCCAACCCCCATCTTACCGTGTCACCCGCGGTGGGCCACCTGCTGGCCGGCAGCAGCAAGGACATCACACTCACCTTCTCTGCTGCGGCGCCAGTGAAGCTGCAGCCGCACGACATCAAGGTGGCGCTCATGCAGATCAATCACGCCGCCGGCACGCAGCCTGTGGACTGGGACGACCGGTCCGTGGTTGTGGATTACGGGTTACCGCCGGGGCCCAATGGCCAACCCTTGGCTACACCGGAGCCAGAGCCCCCGGTCACGGACGTGGCAGGCAGCACCCGTGAGCTGGTGCTGCATGTGCACGCGTGTGCTGATAACGCCAAGTACTCGTGCGAGGCGGGGCCCATCGTGTTCAAGCCCACGATGATGTTCCAGACGCGTTCCTACACCTTCCCGCTCACCAACACAAGTGCCGCGCACCTAGACTATAAGTTCACGGTCATGCAGCCCGATGGCGTCACCGTGGACGAGGCGAGTCTATTCACCATCAGCCCCGCCGGCGGTGTTATCGAGGCCGGTCAGACCGCTCAGATTACCGTGAAGTTTGCGCCCACGGAGGTGGAAGACTGCAACCGCGTGCTGGTGTGTCAGATCCCGCACCTCGACCCGTCATGTCCGCCGCTTGCACGGCCAATGGCGGGCCGTGTGTTGCGTCCCTGGGCACACTTCGAGCTGCCTGATTCGGACTACGTCTCCGCGGGACGTCGCAGCCCTGACATGCCGGGCCCGTCTGGCTCCATCGAGCCCTTGGACCCTGCTACTCGCGTGGTGGAAGTGGAATCTCTGGGAGTGCGTGTACGCAACACCAAGCGCTTCTTCGTGCTCAACCCCACGGGCATCGCCTACGAGTTCTTCTGGGATATCTGCGGCGGCGGCGGCGGCGGTGGCGGCGATGGCAGCAGCAGCGGCAGTCCGATGAAGGAACCGTCACAGTCACAGTCGCAGTCGCAGTCACCGCAGCAGTCACCGCAGCGCAGGCTGGGACAGGGAGGTACTTCATCATCGAGCCCGTTCACATGCTTGACCCGGCGAGGCGTCATCGGCGGGGGCCGGCGGTTTGAGATGGTGTTCGAGTACACGCCCACGCATGATGCGGTGGTGGAGTCGTTTTGGCGATTCCGCATCCCGGAGCAGGGTATCGAGGTTCCATTCCTGCTGGTGGGCCTGGTCAGCGAGCCGCGTGTGGTACTGGACCGGCCTTCTATCAACTTTGGGCAGATCCTCATGGGCTGCAAGGGTCATGGCACCGTCACGCTGCTCAACAACGAGCACTTGCCCTTCCAGTTCGCCTTCGACAAGGGCTCCTACGACGCGACAGACGAACTCATCAAGGCGACAGGTAACTAGTGGTCCTGAATGTAAAGACGAATTCGGGCAATCCAGGGAAGGGGTGTTTTGGGTTCGAAGGGATGGTGGGTGAGACTGCGCCGAAGACTGGACAAGATAATTATTTTACCTTTAACCCCCTCTCTTTTCATTCCTATTATGGACTGTTGTCCTTTTCCTATCTTGTTTAATTCTGATCCCTCGCATCTTTTTTGTCTTCCCTCTCCGATTACTTCATCTCGCGCTCTTCCAAAACACCTGCACGCTCACACACACATGTGCGCGCACACACACACACACACGCTCACACACGCGCTCACACACACGCGTTCACACACACGCTCACACACATGTACAGGCCTACGGCCGGTGGTCGAGCTGGAGCCTTCCAGCGGCGTGGTGCCAGCCCAGGGCTCCGTCGCCATCTCCGCCACCTTTACACCGCGCCTGGAACGCGACATCAACTACAATGTTCAGTGCGTCGTCAAGAACAAGCCAAGCCGGCTGGTGCTCAACATCAAGGGCGAGGGCACCGCCATCCATGAGGCGCTGCAGCTGGAGAACGCAGACGGCACCACGGTCCTGCTGGCGCCACGTCAGCCCAACGCGGTGGACTTTGGGCAGGTGCTGATCAACGAACGTTGCGTCAAGGCGCTGGCGTTCGTCAACTCTGGCCAGGTCAACTTCAACTTTGTGTGGGATGTGGGCACCAACCCGCGCATCACCATTCACCCGGAAAGCGGCACCGTGCCGCGTGGCGAGCGGCTCATGTGCGAGATCGCATACAATCCGCACGGGCCAGACAAGTAAGTGCGGTGGCGGCGGGCGGAGGCGGGTGTGTGTTTGTGTTTGAGGGGCCCTGGTAGCTGGTACCCACTACCACGACTGGAAGGGGGGAAGGGACTTGCCTTCCGTTCTGGCTTTGCCTCGTGGCCATGTATGAACCTCTCCTGCGAAACGTGAGCCGCGTGTGTGACGGTTGCACGTGAGTATGTAATCTAGGTATATGGAGATGGCCATGATGGAACCCCATGGGTCAGGCAGACAGGTAGGCTGGCACAAGCAAGCCAGCGGGTTAAGGTGCGATATCTGCTGGGCCCGGCAAGGGGTACCGGCTAACGGGGGATGGGGTTTAAGGGTTGCGTCTTAGCCCTCTTCCCTGTCCCCACCTTGCACTCTTAATACCCCCAACTCCCGCACCCCAACTGACATATCTCCGATACAGGCTGCAAGACTACAAGGTGACGTGCCAGATCGTCAACGGCCCCAAGTACACGCTGCTGCTCAATGGCGTGGGCCACAAGCCGCGTCTGGACCTGTCCTGGTTCAACCACGACTTTGGGCTGCAGCCCGTGTGGCAGCCGGGCATGGCGCCCGCCGTCCGGCCTCTACGCCTGCGCAACGACGATTCGCAGCCCATTGCAGTGGACCCCCACTGGGATGCCGCCGCGCCTGGCGCCGGTGACTGGCAGGTGGATTGTGGCCCGCTGGTGCTACAGCCCGGTGAGAGCCGCGAGTGGGTCGTCACCTTCAAGCCCCACGCTGCGGTGCCAGCGGTGCTGTCACTGCCGCTGGAAATCAACGGGCTCTACACAGTCCATGTGGAGGCGCGCGGCGAAGGCAGCCCGCTACGAGTTGAAGTGGCGAACCCGGCCCACCGCGCCATTAACTTTGGGCCCGTCGCGGCGAGCGGCTCTGCAACCCGAGTGGTACCGGTCACCAACCGCGGCCGCACCACCGTGACCCTCAATCTAGGCCCTAGCGCAGAGCTACTGGCTCGGTGCGCCATCGACGTCATCCCCGGCTCCACTACGGACGTCCTTCTACGGCCACGAGAGACCACCGACCTGACGTTCTTCTTCCGGCCCACTGCCCGCATGAGGCCTTTCACCGAGGAGCTGCTAGTCAGCTTATGCGGTGTGACCACGCCGCTGGCGACACTCACCGGCGCCTGTTTAGGCACGGAGCTGCGACTTGCGTCGGACTCGCTGCCGTTCGGGCCTGTGGTGTTGGGCAGCCGTGTGGTGAAGCGCCTACAGCTGGAGAACACGGGCGACGTGGGCACCAAGTTTGCATGGGACGTACGCGGCCTGGGACCGCACTTCTCCATCTTCCCCGCTGAAGGCTTCTTGGCGCCGGGACAGGACGTGAAACTTGACGTCGCGTTCCACCCCACGGAAGTCAACCCTGACATCCGCGTGGATAAGGTCCGACTCCGAGTGGAGGGCGGCACGGACTGCAGCCTGACGCTGACGGGAGCCTGCATCGCCTCCGCCGCGCAGCCGGAGGTTGTGTCCTTTGCCTGCAACGTCCGCGCTTCCGCAAACCAATCCATCACCATCACAAATGCCTCCTCCAGTACCTGGTCGCTGCGGCCCGTCATCCAGAACGATTTCTTCTCCGGGCCCGAGTCTCTGACAGTGCCCGCCAACGGCAAGGCCTCCTATACCATTACCTTCCGGCCGTTGACGATGTCCTCGCCCGACCAGCCCCACGAAGGCAGCGTCTTCTTCCCAATTCCTGACGGAACAGGCCTGCTGTACCGGTTGGTAGGTCGTGCGGAGGCACCCGTGCCGGAGGGTGTCGTGGAACGGCACATCCAGGCAAAGTCTCAACACACGGAGGTCTTCAAGTGCCACAACTGGCTGCACCGGCCGCAGCGCTTCCATGTGCTCGTGGAGCGCAAGACGGGCGATAAGTCGACGCAGCTGTTGGTGCCTGAGTACGTGGACGTCCCGGCACTGTCGTCCAAGGATGTGAAGATGGGCGTCATGTCGTTCACAGCGTCCACCACGCAGGCTGTTGTCAAGTTCAAGAACGAGGCGACGGGGTGAGTGTGCGTGCGAGGCTGAGGAAGAGCGGGAGGCGGTACGGGGTGCCTAGAGGCTGCGGAATCGCAGTGCGGATGCGGCAGGCTGCCTAGGACATTCTGTCATGCATGCGGTTCTCCTGTCATGCGCACTGCTTCACATCACATCACCTCGCTCATATCACCTCGCTCGCTCCTATCGTGCAGTTTTATCTTCTTGAACCCCTCTCCTGCCCAACACCGTCCTCTTCCCCCAACACCGCTCCTTCCTCCCCTCCCATCATGGCCCCATGCATCCTCTCCCGCAGCGAGTACCTGTTCTACGACTGCAAGTTCACCGCCGCGCCGCCCGCCCAGCGCGGCACCCTCTCGCTTGAGTGCCCGGTGCGCACGCAAACTACCGCACGTGTGTCCGTGGCCAACCCGCTGCCCGAGGACGTTACCTTGCGCGGCTCCGCCACGAACAAGCACGTCCAGGTGCCCGCCTCCACGCTCCTGCGCGCCGGTTCCACCACTGAAATCGAAGTCCGCTACCGGCCCCTGGTGGTGGGCCACTCGGAAGCACTGTTTCGTCTGGACAGCCCCGAGCTGGGCCTCTTCGAGTGGGCCCTGAAGCTGGCCGGCACCCCCACCAACCCGGAGCGCAGCCTTGCCTTCAATGTGCCGCTGGGCGGCCGGGAGACGCAGATCTTCCGCTTTACGCACTGGCTGGACGAGCGGGCGGAGTACAAGGTCAGCTTCAAGTCCAGCGGCACCCATGTGGCCGCCGGTGGCGCGTTTACAGCCGCGGCAAGCGTTGTGGCGCCGCCGGCTGTGGCGGGCCTGGCGGCGGGCTCAGAAGCGTCACTGGATGTGCACTTTGAGCCCACGGCGATTGGGGAAAACATCCGCGACACGCTCGTGGTGGTGTCAACTACGGGCGGCGAGTACCAGTGCCCGCTGGTGGGCCGCTGCATCCCGCCCAAGCCGCAAGGTCCAGTGGATGTGAGCAAGGGCACCGCGGTGCTGCCCTTCACCAACGTCTTCACGGCCGACGCGGAGTTCCAGATGGCGGTTGATAACCCCGCGTTCGTGGTCAAAAACAGCGAGAAGATTGCGTCCAAAAAGTCGTCTAACATCGCCATCCAGTACAAGCCCATCGAGCCCGGCCGCACGCCCAAGACTGGAAAGCTTACCATCTCCTGCCCCGCGCAGACGAGCAGTCAGTGGGTGTACTACCTGCAGGCATGATGGAGGGGTTTTGCGGAGACGGGGTTGGTTGGTTGCTTGATTGGTTGAGTGGTTGGTTGGCCGGCTCGGAAGGACGCGGAATAGTGTCCCAGATGGCGTTGGATGTGGCCTGTAATGGGATGAAGTGTAACTTGGGCGACGGTGACGATATGGGTGTGGCCGACTGTGCGGCGCTGCTGGGGACGGCGAAGGTGGAGGCACGCGGAAGCCCCGCTACGATAAAAAAGGCGTAAAAGGCATGAGAAAGGTGCAGAGTGGATGGGCCGGCTACAGATGTCTGGTTAGGAGGCTTGGGACATTGCTGCACGGTGTGGGTCTGTGGTATGTGTGACACTGTGCCTGTAGAAAAGAGACCACCCTGGGAAGCGTCATTACAGCATTGCAGTGCCGCCGCCTGTAAGGATATTAGCTGTTTGCCTTCTGACCCATCGATTGAGGGCTAAGTGAGGCCGGCGGGGCGCGAACGGGAACGGGGTACAGAGCTATGCAGGGGCCTTCCGTTGTGTGAATGCATCAAACTGTCAGGTCAGTGCGGAGCTGTAATGTATCGTGCGACTGAAGTAAGTGCACCGGCACCGCGTGCGCCATAGCACATGCTAAATTACTACAGTTTAAGCGCTTGTGCACATCTCTTGACAAGGTTGGGAGCAACGGTGCGGTGTAAGTGCTGTGTGTATATAGTGGCGAGCCTGGTGGGCCCTTGTCGCTGTGGGCTTGCAGGAGACTGCACGACGGAGGATGAGGATATTTAGTCAGAGGTGTAGTCACATGTCTCTCGCTGACCCACCGCTAAGCATTGCTGCGATCCGGTTTTGCTTAGTTCGTGCTTTTCCTGCTTTCTATACATCAGCACGTAACATGAAACTACAATGTACGCGAGGTACGGACACACGTGCACGGGTTGTACGGGTAATATGCACGCAGTGTAAATGAGGCTTGCATGTACGCTGGGGCAGCGACGGCTGGTGGGCATTGCGTCGATCCGTGCCTTGCCGCACTGCACAACCTGTTCGCTGTAGCAGCGGGGATGCGGCGGTGTGGCGACCGTTGAGCGATATGCGTCTGTCGACCCAAGCCGTGACCATGCCTGGATGCGCGTGCCCTTAGTAACGGATGGTAGGGACCCTGGAATTGCCGCCACCAGGGGCGGGGCCGGGTGGTGCCGAAACATGGTAGGAAGGAGGAACATAAGGGGCTTCGACACACACCGGAACTATTAGGCGCTCTCTTGCTTGGAAAGAAGGGGCGCTGACCGGCCTGCTTGGCTTTGCTTTCCTACCGGGATGGCAACGGTTTTCGGAGCATGATACAGGTTTTGATGCTTGGGATTGTGGATGGATGAGCAGCATGGTTGGGAGTGGAGATGGTTCTCAAGAGGCGTGCGTCGTGACGTGATGGAGTGGGCTGCAACTATGTTTGTACGGTTGTTGCGGTGGGTGGGACTTGGGCGTTTTTGCGTGCGCGAACTGTGCATATGGTGACTGGTGGGTGACACGCGGTCAGGCTGGGCGCGCTTCTTGACCGTGGGGGAACCGTTGGCAGTTTTTTCCGCATGTCTGCTCCATCCTTTTGTTCGAAGGGAAGCTTTAGCTTGGACGACAAACTAAATATGTAGCCAGGTGTTTCTGGACATGATCTATGTTCAGAAGTGTGAGGACGCAGGCGTGAGCCCGTCTGAGCCGAAAGCAGCACAGCATACTGTGATACGTTGGCGAGGGAACATTACAGGGGTGCAAACGGATGGGCGCTGAGTAGGGCGTAATTTTGTAAATGCAACATAGTGTGTGTCCCGTGCAAGTCCACACATAGAAGACGTGCAAAAGACAAAAGCCTGCTAGCTTGTTTGCAAGGAGAATGTATGAGGGTTGAAAGGGGCCTACAACCCAAGTAACGCGCCCAAGGTGAGGCTGAAATGGGGACAAACCTTGGCCGTAAGTTGAGACCTTCCTTTGTTTACACTTTGATAAAATTCTTATAAGGAAACCTTGTCTTAACTTTGAAACACAATACCATGTGTTGTAGAGGATGGAAATTCTACATGGACTTGCAACCACTAACAGTCAACCTCATGCGCCGTTCGGCATCAGTACCAGTGAACCGTCACTGTCACGGTTCTTCCGCTTGGGTTGGCCGCCGAAAGCTCCCGGCATCCACGCTGACACAGGGGCCCTCAGCGCCGGTATCTGGGTGCTTCTAGGCGGCATGTCGGCTCCAAATCTCTCCAAACGACAGCCGGTCCTGCGCTACTGCTACTGCTGGACGCCGGGGGGGATGGTGCTGCCCCTGCTGTCGCAGCTGATCCAAATTGATCTGGAGCTCCAGGTTACGACCCTGGTGCAACAGTTGCCGGTTCTGTGCGGTGAGGGGCTCCAAGTCGGAGCCAAGTAGATGTTCAAGGACCAAAGTAAAGTAGTGTCTCGTTTAGTGTTTGATCTGTCGTAAATGTTATAACAATATAATGGATATACGGTCCACTGTAATAATGTGCCTGTGGCTCCGTACATTACTATACCAGCTTCCCGATGCTCAATAGTTTGGCAAACGAAAAGCAAGAACCGACCCCCTGAAGCAAGCTGATAACAGCGAAACAATAAGAAAAGGAGTTGAAGAGCTACTGAGTGGTCGATGCCATAAGTGAGAAATTCCGGTTATGCTTGATGGGTGAAGGACGGTTAGGTCTAAGTCGTGATGATCTGCGACACGCCTCAACCTGCTCATAACGCACCAAGGAGCTATCCCAAATCCAGGCATGTTTCTTTACATGGCCAATGCTCGCTTTCCTACTTATTTGTAAGACCAAAGCACCGGCAGTTTTTGGTTGCAATTGATAATAGCTTTGAGTTGGACTGAAGAGTCTAAATGCCAAACATGAAAATATGCCTGTGATATGAGGCCCTCATCATGGTATGAATGGAATGTACCGGTGTGCCCCAAACCTCAGCATCGTTCTTTCACTGTGCTAGTGTCTAGACGATAACATGGCAGTTATCATCATACCAGCTTGTAAGACGGTTTGCCTTCTTCCTGATGCACATTCGTTTGTAGGCAACTCGCCATGTTTCCCGCTTATCCCTTGCGCCAGCGCTCCGAGACCACCTTATAGCACACAACCTGGTGAGGTCAGATACGCCCTTGTGGTGGAAAACATTTGGTCCCAACATGTATTCCTTCCACGTTTCACCTGTACTGAAGGAAATGACGCAGCCTTTACAACCCTCCCTCCATCTACCCGGGCTAAGTTGATTGAAAGCACCAGGCGTACTGCCACGTCTGACACTTTTCCTTGCACACGACTCATGGCCATCGTTCCAGACTCGCCTACCCGCAACTCCACTCCACTTATCCCTCTCTCCAAAAACCACACCCACGGTCTTTCCAACGCGATTAAAGACCCAGCAACTCATGGCCTTCTATCACTCCCCCCCTCTCCCGCTGTCGCCTCAAATCTCACCCTGCAGCTCCCCCAGCGGTTCAATGCTTCCTGACCCATACACATGTAAGAAACACACGCCTCTCTCCCGCACATCCGAACCGGCATCCCCCCACCCACAGAGCACCGCCCGAGATGTCCTCGTCCTCTCCCCCCTGGACCTCATGGAGCTGCTGGACCTGACTTGGAGCCAGGCCACGCAATTGCTCGCTGACGTCAGCGCACAGGTCACCCCGCCGTACACCACGGTACGGTAGTGCACACCTTTGCGCAGGGCTTTCCTTATCCTTATCAAAGAATAAACTCCTTGGCGGGTGAGCTAGAGTAGCTCTCGAGAGAGCGGTGGGTGCTCGAAGCTGGATGATGTGCACGGAGGGCAGCTGTCCGGACCCACCTCACCTCACCCTACCTATCACTTTCCCCACATGTCATGGCGCAGGCGTGGGAGGCGCTCGCGCACGTGACTTCCCCGCAGGGGCCCTCGCCGCTGAGGACCGGACTGCCGGTGGGTTCAGGGGGACGGAAAGGGGCGCCGGAGCTCCGAAACCCTGTGTGAGGCGTGAGGCGGTAGATAAAAGGCGCGGTTTTGCAGGTCTTATGAGGGCTGCTGGGCTACTAATGGTCGCTACGGAGTGTTTCCTGAGCACACCAACTCCCTATCATGGTCTTCAAGGGGGAGGGAACATGAATAGGACTGGACGAATGTAAACGGGGGCTAGGGGTTGGAGAAGGGGGAACTGGGGTGTGTGTCTCATTGCCCGAGGGATTAGAGGTGTGGGAAACAGACAAGTCGCGAACAACCTGCGACCTGCATGCAAACTCAAAAAAATCCCCCCGGCAGCCTCCTCACTCACCTCAGCTCACTTCGGGGCCACACTCCCGGGTTTCTCCCCAACCTCACCGACCCCGTCGCCTCGCCGCTTTAAGCCGAGGTGCTGCTGCTGCTGCTACTGCTGCCACTCCTTTTCCCCCTAATGCGTCAATGTCCAACCTCCAACCGCCAACGCACGCCGCTTCCTGAATGTTCACTGTTGATTCGCCAGACCCTGGACTCCGCCCTGCGCCGGGGCCTGCCGGTGGGCAGCATCACCGAGCTGGTGGGGCCCGGGGGGGTGGGCAAGTCGCAGATGTGCCTCATGATGGCGCTCGTGGTGGCCCTACCGGCGGAACTGGGCGGGTGCGCGCTTGAGCGTGTGTTTAGTTTTAATAATAAAATGATGAAATGAGCCGCAAGAGTTTTAGAGGTTGAAGAAGTCGCATGCAGAACTTAGGGGGGTGTTGTGTAAGTGCGGGTGTTGTGTGGGTGTGTGTCATGTGTGTCTGCCTTGACCTCCTGCCCTGCCCTGCCCTGCCCGCCATCACCGCGTAGGCTGGCTAGCGGGGTGGTGTACATCGACACAGAGCGCAAGTTCTCAGCAGCTCGCCTGGCGGAGATGTTGCGCGCTCGGGTCGCTGCCAAAGCGGCGGCGGCGGAGGATGCGGTAGCGCCGCCGCCCGGATTTCTCCGTCCGCACGGCGGTGCGTCGTACTCTGCTGACGGCGGCGGCAGCTCCATGGTTTCGGAGGTGCT